GAGGTCCATAGGGGATGGGGGGGGGTTATGGGGAGGCCCATACTCTGGTGGTCCATCCACTTGGGGAGGGCCGTGCAGCTGTGGGTCACGACCTACATGAGGAGTGTAGAGCCAAGCGCAACTATTCTTGACCTGAGTCTGCCACATGGAAAAGCCCGGCTGATATAGCTATTGAGCCAGGGATATGGACTCAATTACGACACAACCCTTGGGAAATATGCCAATGTCCTGTTGCAGCTGTGCAGCCCATTGCAGCACCGGGCCAGTCAGCGGGGGCGAAAAATGGAGGCCCAACGGAACATGAGGCGGCGGGGGCTGGGGAGGGGGAGGCGGGGAGTGGGCCTGCACATGATATAGATGCATGTATGTTCAAACAGATCTGCCCAGTAAACCGTAGGCAGAGAGGGTGAAGAGGACAACAAACAAGGCCGATCCCTCACTTGTTGCACATGCAGAATAGGAAACTCAACTGGTTTAGCTAACGAGGTTCTAGTATGCTCCTGCCACATGGCGAAATCCCAACCTTCTTAACCCCCCATCCTACCCATCTCTCTCTCTCTCTCTCTCTCTCTCTCTCTCTCTCTCTCTCTCTCTCTCTCTCTCTCTTATTCCACGGATGTCCACTCCCGCCACTTCTCCTGGCGACTTCCCGGGCCATCTTCTGCATTCTCAAATCTAGCGCCATTTTCACCTTCTCTTTTGGCCTCCTTCCTCTTTTCTTTTTTTTTTTTTTCTTGTTTTTTTAACTTCGCATGTGGGAAAACCTACTTAAACCACCAGTACCTCGCCCAGCTATCGGCCGCGGCACTTTCCTGTTAATGCACTGCGCCTTTGGGGCTTCGGGGTACCGGACCACAATGGCTGGAAGCGCCAGCCAAAAAAAATTCAAAACGGTACCAAGGCACTTCGGCGAAAGTCGGCGCGCAGGGGCATTCCAGGCTCGGCATCGATAGCTGGGCCAAGTATTGGTGGTCTAACAAGGCCTCCTTTCTTGTGACGGTGTACTGTGTTGCTTTCCTTTCCTCCTGATCCATCTGATTGTGACCTTGTGGTGATGAAAATAGTGGCAGTGCTGTTCCAATCTTCTTCCTTTTTTTTTCAGGGAACAACCCAAGCTGATGGTAGGGGTGCTAATAGGAGCAGGCACCACTAGGTAGCACTCCCGGGGAGGCTCCATCTATTGGTGGGGAGCTGCACCTGCTGGAAAGCGGGTCCAGCGTCCCTGAACATTGTAGTTGAGTGCTGTTCCAATCTTACAGATCTCCTTCGAAGTGATTCAAGTACCAGCCATTTGAGTCCCGCAAACATACTCGATAGCATCATCCCTCTTCTGCTCATATATCCTATTATCACCATAGTCTGTGCCGCCATATTGTTCCATATCCTCGTTAATCTTCTCCGCATGTGTACCTTGGTTAGCTTCAACACTCCTCTGATCACAACCGTCTATATCACCCGATTCCTTACTATCATCCTCATTCTTCTCCTCACTTATGTACTCCACCGCTTCTTCTATATCATCATAACTCTTCTGTTCACTCAACTCCTGATTACCATAATCACTTTTCTGATCACAATCGACTATATCGCGAGATGCTTGAATACTATCATCCTCACTCGCTGCACCGCTGATACTTCGATCTTGATAACCTATTTGATGACCACCTCCTTGGTGTTCCTTCCTTCCCACTCTGGCACAGCCATTTTCCTTCATAGCATCCCACTCTTGTCATTGCCTATCTCCTTCAGCACTGTTTTTTTCTGCCAGATGTGTCCGCATCTCTAAATTCTCATCTCGACTGTCCTCCGCACTTATCAAATGGTCACATCTGTCAATACCGCCAGCTTGTTCAGTGCCGTAATCGCCCATTTTCCTGTTATTCTCATGATCATGCCTGTGGCCCTGATGGTGTTGCCCAATCACACAGGCCCAGATTAGATGGGGGTCACATTTTGCACACCAGGTCACCTTTTCTCTACCAACACCATTGTTTTTGCTGATGAACGCTATACTCCCTGACATAGTCATCTCTCTTCTCCCCTCTTCCTTTAGCCCGTAACCGCGACGCCAACAAAAACGCCGTTCTCCCACTTCTTGAGGGTGTGTGTGTAAAGCAACTTGTTTTCTGTTGCTGCTCTCCCTGCTGTCGTCTGCCCCTGTATTTCGCGTTTCCATGCTGTCTTCTCGCATTGCTCCGTGTTCTGTGGTCTCACCTTGCTCCGTGTACAATTCTCTCCCGGGAGTTCTGTGTCTGCAAATGATCAGCAAATCTTGCCGCAAACCTGCTCCTCCGTTGTTCGGGACACGCCGCGTCAGATTCCCTTGGTATGATGTGCAGGCGTCAGTGGCACCTATCCCGGCGTGATCGCATCACGAGCGTAGTAAGAGAAGTGCAGCTCCTGTGCCCCTTGGAACAAATGATCCCAGCCACTTCACCATCCAGTCTCCCCCAGGGAGAAGGGGTCTTAAACCACCAGACTGAGTACGTTTCCCAGCTTTTTTCCCAGAGGTGCGCCGGGTAACACACTGACCTGAAACGAAAGGGCGTCCACCGATAAATCGAATCGGCAGCTAGTCTTGATTTTCGGGCCAGCGCGCAGTGCCCGCGGCCGACATATGGGAAAGGTACTCGTGGTTTAATCTGCGAGTTCGCTCATCGCTCAAGGGGCTCTGTGGTCCTCTCTCTCACAAGGGAGATGGAACTTCACGGCTGGGTTGCAAAAGATGACACATTCTGCTTTGAATTTCCAGTTCGAGTTAAAAAAAAAAAAGAAGGGCACGCAAATGTGACCTGTTGTACCTACGAGCACTCCACTCCTTTGCACAAACTGGCTCAGGACCCCCTCAACCCACGGTGGGAACCCCCTAACACTGCCCGTGGTTTTCACCCCCACACCCATATGCATTGCCGTGCTGTGGCCCCGCTCCAAGCATGGAGACGCTCTCGCCAGATGGGCTACATGCTGTTCTGACCTAGAGTAAATGTCAAGCCTCTATGGTAGACCATTGACACCGGCATATCATTACATATATAACTGTGTTTTCGTTAAAATTAAGTTTTTTTTCCCATTTCGCAATTTTGACTTAAGTGACTTGAAGAGGACGATTGGCCTATCCGATAAGGGCCATTTTTGGGGATGAGCGATCATCCATGAGACTACCACTCATCCCAAAATATGGCCCTCATCGGACAGGGCAAATGACCTTTTCAGCTCACTCCAGTACGAATTGGAAAACGAAAAAAAAACTCAATTTTCTTGAAAACGCAGTTATGCAATTGATCCGGGATAATGAGTGGTTCACCCCTTGTAACAACCCCAAGACCAGTCCAACCAAGGTCTGACCCCTCCTCTGGCAGATTACCCGCCAGTGCCTCTCTAGTACAGCTGACTCAATCATCACATGGACAATCCTGGATGCAAAAGGCATAAACTTTCCCTGGTGCAAAGCCTGCTGTAGCAGTTACTACCCGACTGTCGAATGCTGCGAAATAATAGAGCACCTCTTCATGTCCTCCCTTAGGGCCGGGGCTGTCTGACGATGGTGGGAAGCCTTGTGGACCCAGATAACTGCTGTAGAGGAGTGAGGGGTGGGACCCCCTTGGCGACAGCCTGGATAAACTCTCAGCCCCCTTCTGCACGAATGTGTTCAGAAGTCAATGTTCGGCCAAGCTGTGCGGGTTCTAGGTTAGATGAGCCATCCTGCTCCCTGGCAATAGATGGAGTGCCTTGTCGACAAGGACTTGCTTAAACTACCAGTACATCCAGCTATCAGCCGCGGGCCATTTCTGGCGTCGATTCATTTTTTTTTTAATTTTTTTTAGGACAAATGCTCCAGTCCGGGGAGCAGCACGTGCTGGGAACCGGGCCCAGCGTCCCATATAGAGTTACACAAGTCATTTGAGATACGGGGCCATTACCCGGCTTCGGCTGAGAATCAATGATGTTATACTCAGTGATCTGTGGCCGTTCGATGCCAGAATGACGCTGGCCGGTGCTGGGGTGTTGCCCTGTAACCTGCTGATGCAGGAGGGTGAGGCCTGGTAGAGAGATCTGGGGATGCTTTGGGGTGGGCATCCCAAGGGACGACCAAGGGTTGCTGCTGGGATGACGCTGGTCAGAGATGGGGCGAGTTGTGTTGCCCTGTAACCCAGCAGGGTGGGGGCATGAGGCCTGGAAGAGCTCAGCAGGGAGTAAGACGGTGTTGGGAAGTCTTAGAAGGGTTTCTCAGGGAACCTGAGGGTAGTGAGCATTCGCAGGACCTCTGTGGCAGGTTATTGCATGAGTAATTCCCTAATACTCAAGATCCTCCCCATGTTTCTGAATCTCATCGTGTTCACAGATTGTTCTCAGCCGAAGCCGGGTAATGGCCCCGGTATCTCAAATGACCTCAAACGACCTCAAATGTTCTCAATGATCTGTATAATTCAATATGGGACGCTGGGCCCGGTTGCAGCACGTGCTGCTCCCCACGAATAGACTAGAGCACTTGTTAAAAAAAAAAAAAAANGATAGGATTTGGAGCCAGTTAGGAACATCCCTCCCTTGGCCCTGGAATTGGAAGGAAATGGAAATGGACAAGCCTTCCAAGCAAAATAAATCAACAGTCAAACAACAGAAGTAAAAGATAATAGGGGAGGGGAAGAGAGAGACTCAACAGGACAAAGGAGAGGAAAGAAGAAACACAGAGAAAGAAAAAGAAAAAGAAGAGGACCACAAAGGCCAAAAGAAAGTCCAGAAACAGGTTGAGAATAGAAGCCGAGAACAAGACCAGGAACTAATGCATCAAGAAGTGGCCAACCAAGCCAAAAGCACAGTCCCAAACTCTTCACTTCCCCAACCGCCACCTGCCGTTCACCAGGTGGTCTAGTACGGACCCCGAAATTGGCGCCTCAGGAAACACTTTTTGAAAAAAAAAAAAAAAAAAAAAAAAAAAAAAAAAAAAAAAAAAAAAAAAAAAGTTAAAAAGAAGAAAAGGTAAAACAATGCCCTACCTACCGTACTGTTAACATTCACAGCCCCCGAAGAGGCACTCACCCCAGACCGAGACCACGGCCTAAGCCTCCGACAGACCACTTTCCCTCGTACTCACACAGTCTCGGGAACCGGCCTTTTCGACCTTGAGAGGCTCTATCCCTGCCCCAGCTTTTGCCCCCAAATCACGAAGGCCACCGCCCAGCCCTTGTGCCCGCACATTCCCGAGCATCGGCTTCCTCCATCCGGTCAATACACCCACCCAATCGTCCCACACTCCCCCAAATTTCCTGGAAAATGCCATCAGACGATGATCAAAATATTCGTCCGGGAACCCCCTTTTTCGGAGTTCGATCTTCAAGGTAAGTAGGAAAGCCACCTCCATCCCACTCATGGTGGTGTACATCCTCGCTCGATGCAGGCAAGACCCAATAATAGCCATTTTCTGCTGCTTGCTCGAGTAAGAGTCAAAGTCTTGCAAATTCTGAAATTTAACCCCCTTCTCCTTATAACTCCGTTGGTTTTTGTGCAAAGCCACGCACTGCAATCCCCAAGGCCAATCCAACGCCTTTATCACACAGCCTAGAAAATCCCAGCAATCGCTTCCATTGGTCTGCTCCAAAACAAGGTTATCATCATAGCATGTCCTAAATGCATCCATGATCTCCCTGGCCTTGGGCAGAGAGCAAACATCCTCAACCTTGCAGCGGATCATAACGGACACATCATCCACCATACGCAGACCGCTTACCAGTTGTTGGTCGCAACCCAGTGATGTCAGAAACATGAATTCGTTGTAAGTACAAAGGAGGCAGGCCAAGGCCGGGCTGGACGCCTTTCCCATGGGAATCCCCACCACTTGCTGCAGCACTTGCCCGCAGACTTTGAAGTAAGTTGCATCAAGCTCAAAGGAAACAAAGCTAACCACCATATCCAGAGATATCGAGTTCCAACCAACCTCAGTCCTTCCAAATCTCAGCTTTGCCCCCTTTCCCCTTGTCTTAACCATAACCCCTTTACAACCCCTAATCGCCCAAAAATCCACAACCCACCTCACCGCCTTCATGATAGATTTGTGCGGCAAATTACAAAACATTTCCTTGATGTCGAATGCTGCATTTACAAAAAATTCCCCCTTCTTCAACTGCCTGTTAATCTGCTTTAAAGCAGGTGCCAGCTCAGCCATACTTTTCAAATTGAAGTTCATTCCCTTCGGTAGATCCCACAACAGTTGGTTGACAGCCCGCGCCACCTTCTTGCTGGCAGTGACACCACATTCCGAAAAGATAGGACAAATCGGTTGTCACCTCGAAATGTCCTTATGCTTTGGTATTGAGTATGCCTGCCCCAACTGTCCCTTATCATTCCATTTCCCCAAACCATCAAACCCACCCCGACCATACTCACTCCCACACTGCCGCATTGCCACCAGGATTCGTCAGTAACAGCTTGTCCAAGCTAGCCTTATATACCGTTGGGCAACAGTACAGTGAATCGCCCATATTGTGATCAATCGGGCAGCACACCAAACCACCCATCCCCAATTTCCACGCAGACACCTCACCAAGATCCATAACATTCCTCCCTGGTCCTGCCTTTGTCCTATTAAAGGCTTTAAAGCAGCCTTTCACGGACTCTTTATCAAACATACCCTCCTCCATCTTCGGCAGAAAACTGGTAAGCGCAAAGGAAGCGGTGACCTGTTTGACAAGCATCTTCCTCGAGATTGACAGAGAGGGATGAGGAATGTTCCTTGCATTCTTTAAAAAACCTGGGACAAAATCGACTTCAGACATCCGAAAGCAGACATGCCCCCTTACCCGCGGAAAATGCCCATCCATCGAACTCCAGCTGCAGGTATGCTGAGTTTTCCTACTGACATCACAAAAATTAAACAGGACGTCGCCCACACTCCTGTTTTTGGTCCACACGATTTTCTTTCGCCTAACAACCATCTCCTTCAGACATTCCGACAAATCCAGTTTCCTAACCAGATTGGCACACATCGATCGGACTACACTCTTACTCACATTGGCATCATAGGTAATACAAACGACCAGTCTAGCACGCACGTTAAATCCAAACTTCCTGCGCACCACCCCAGACAGTGCACTCCTCAACATATGCCGCGACCGCCTATCTTGAAAACACCGAATAGCCATGTACAGACGAACCAGCTTGTCAAGACCCCAACCATACAAGAGCATACGCGTTGAAGGGTTCCGAAGAAAGTCTAGAAGGGTCGGCTTATGTCACAGCAGAGTTGCGCAGTAGTAAGTAACCGTACGAAAGTGCAGAACAACACCATTCGTCAACCACCCGCGACTCTTCTTCAAAGGTGCGACCCCAAAGGTAGTCTCTACAACTGAACCTCCAAAACAACGCTTAACAACTTTCCATGAATTCAACAATTTATTACCTCCCTCACACCGAATAGTTAGATCCGACCTCCCTTTCTCCCTTGATCTCGACAAAATCCCAAGCAAGCTGGCTGACACCACGCCCTCATCGGTCGAAAAAACAAGATGGGTGTGCACAGACAAATTACTATTGTTTACTCTGACTTTGATCGTTCCCTCCCTATGCTGCCTCAATCTTTCATGCTCTCTCTTTCCCGGTCGACATTTCCTATGCCTAGTTGGTTTATCACGAGAGTTCAAAAACGGACTACTTCTCCGAATAACCATTCTTTCCAATTTTAGCAGATCGGCCTGTTCACAATAGAACAACGGTAAAGCCACGTAGCTTTCCGGACCACAACGCCTCAACCAGTTATATTACCGATGGTTTCTTCTTCCTGTCTCGAGAACTCCAGTGTCACAAGCCCTGTAGACGTGTTCCCCCCACCGCACATCAAGCGACTGACTCGTAGCCCCCACATACACATGCTTATGCCAGGGGGACAGTAAGACATACACAAGCGAACCCTTCTTGGACCACAAGTCCCCATAGTCCCTAGCCGTAGTCAATAGATAAAAGCGAAAGTTATCAGCCCACGGAATAAGCCCCCGAAAAACCATAACCAAAACCGCAGCTTGAAAGAAGGTGTTCCAAGTGACATCACGCAGCACAGAAGAAGGGGAGGAGAGGGAGGAAGAAGAACCACAAGGAGGAGAGGGTGAACGAGAGTCACGACATAACCTTGCCCAGTTCCAAAGTGTCACGTTTCGGAGGTCCCATCAGGCCGAATCCGACGGCACCTCCTCACAGCTCACAACATCACCTTCCTCAACAGCTTGCTTCCCACACCTTCGTTCCGTGTCCCCTACGTCCTTTTTCTCTCCTTCCTGGTCAAACATCCTGATTAAATAAAGCTGCGCAAGTTCTTCCGCAGTCGCCTCGATAGTCTTGTATCGCAAACCTTCCTCTTCGCATAGTGTCTCCAGGGCAGCCTTTTTCAAACCTTTCAAACGCTTCCGTTCGTCTTGGAGAAGAATGAACCGATCGTTAGCCTTTTGTGCACTTCCGTCGGGCCGGGGCAATCGGCCAGCAGTCATCTTCACCTTGCCCTTCCTTCCCGTCCGAAGACCAGTCCTCGCCGCCTCATCCATCTTCTCTTTAAGATTCGTACCTTGTCCTCTCGGTGTACTGCCTCCCCCAACCTCCGTTGTTAATCGACCCATTTGCTCCTTCAGTTTCTGCAGTTCCGCCTCGGCTTCGATACGCTTCGCTTTAGCATCGGCCCGCTTTTGTTTGAGTAACTCCACCTCTGTTAAGTCACACTTACGCCTCTCGTGCAAATCAAGCAACTCAGCCCGTAGCCTCCGAGCCTCCTCAGGCGACTTCACCAACCTTGTCCTTGTAGTCACCCGACCCTCCGAGGCCGGGGTTGCAACATTGATACTTCCCCTTTTGTTGCCGGGACGAAGAGCTTCGTTACGCTATAATTGAGCAACCTTTTCCGTCTCTTCATTTCGTTTTCGAAGAAGCTCCATCTCCGAACGCAACTCCTCGACCTGCTTAGCCAGGTCATTCTTTCCCAGATTCTCCCGACAATCCCTCATCTCTCGAATCTCCCACTTTAGTGCCGCCAACTCCCCATCCATCTTCTGTTTGAGATCCGCCTCCTGCCTTCTCAGCTGCACGTTCTCTCGTTGCAACCGGTCAACAACCCCACTAGAAGGCAATTGCTCCGTGATTCCATACTTAGCACGAAGTTCAGCATTTTCACGCCGAAGCCTCTCGACCTCCTCACTAGTTGAGCTCGAGCTAGCCACGCCTTTACCCATGATTGCCTCATACATGGGCGCCAACCTGCTCTACAGCTTTTGACCCATAGAGTTTTCCAGCTCTTCTCGCTCTTTTTTCCTTAATGCCACCTCCTCCTCTTTCTCTCGCTTTTTCCTCTCAGCGTCCTTCGCCTCAAACTCCTCTCTTTCCTTTTGTTGTGCCTTACTCACAAAGGCGTTGCACTTATCCAGGATCTGCTGGTTCCTGGTCCACCACCCGGTGCGAGGTGCAGCCCCGTACGATGTCTCAGCCGGAGCCGTAGCCACATTCGTTGAAGCCACAGTCCCTGCTGCAGGCCAAGCCAAGATGGGCTCTGCATTAGCCCCGGTAGCAACCGCCGGACGATACCCCATCCTCCGCGGATTTGGGCACTCCCCAGACCAGTGACCATGCTGGTCACAGTTGAAACATGCCCCACGTCCTGGAGCCGCCATAATAGGACAGAAAACGTAGAGTCGAGGTAAGAAAAGAAATAGTATGTTGATGGGAAGTCAGCAACGAAAGAAAACTACACCAAGTTGACGCAAATACTGAAGAACAAACGCAGCCACACATCCGTAATGCGGTTACGGCGCGAATTGCTGGAAATGGACAAGCCTTCCAAGCAAAATAAATCAACAGTCAAACAACAGAAGTAAAAGATAATAGGGGAGGGGGAGAGAGAGACTCATCAGGACAAAGGAGAGGAAAGAAGAAATACAGAGAAAGAAAAAGAAAAAGAAGAGGACCACAAAGGCCAAAAGAAAGTCCAGAAACAGGTTGAGAATAGAAGCTGAGAACAAGACCAGGAACTAATCGAGAAGGACGTCGAAGCATCAAGAAATGGCCAACCAAGCCAAAAGCACAGTCCCAAACTCTTCACTTCCCCAACCGCCACCTGCCGTTCACCAGGTGGTCTAGTACGGACCCCGAAATTGGCGCCTCAGGAAACACTTTTTGAAAAAAAGAAAAAAAGTAAAAGAAAAAGAAAAAGAAAAAGAAAAAGAAAAAAGAAAAAAGAAAAAAGAAAAAAGAGAAAAAGAAGAAAAGGTAAAACAAAGCCCTACCTACCGTACTGTTAACATTCACAGCCCCCGAAGAGGCACTCACCCCAGACGGAGACCATGGCCTAAGCCTCCGACAGACCACCAAGACCGCCACTTTCCCTCGTACTCACACAGTCTCGGGTATCGGCCTTTTCGACCTTGAGAGACTCTATCCCTGCCCCAGCTTTTGCCCCCAAATCACGAAGGCCACCGCCCAGCCCTTGTGCCTGCACATTGGAAGGCCCTCCTCCTGGAATCCTGGAATCCGAACCAGGAAGATGCTTTCACTCTGAACCTATTCACAATCGGAAGGCGAGCGGTCATGTGGGCGATCTGGTTATGAAGGTGTACTCATGAAATGGAAGGTGCTCGCCTAAATGGCCCTGAATTCACTGATACTATCAGACAACAGATCGAAATAGAGATCACTATCAAATGGGAGTCCCTTATGGAAAAATTACAATTTCTGTCACTAGAAAAAGAAATGTTGCATCATATCAAAACATTCAATCAGAACTGGCTTCGAGGGGACCAGGGAGGCAGATTGGGACTGGTGAAGTGGGAAGGAACAAAAGAGAACGCCGAAGAGGAGATCCCAAGGAACTACAGCCTGACCTTCAATGGCCGGAGCAACGTTGATCCTACTGTACCTTTAAGACCTCTGTCGGATTTCCATGATCCCTTCGCTCTCTCGAACCTTTGCTTAGTTCCCAGGTCATGGTATGCGTACGGATGGTCTGGAAAATCCCTTGCATTGTCTGTGAATGTTGGGGTCAGCGTTTCTCAAGAACAAGTGTGATTAAGTGCTAGGAAGATAACGTATATCTGGCGCCCTCTCAGGGTGAAGAGTCACAAGACTCGACACTCAGTTGCAGATTTCCCACCAGCACTGATCAGAAGGGACGCTGGGCCCGGTTCCCAGTTTGTGTTGTACCTCGGTCCTTCATTGTTTCTCATGGGACGCTGGACCCGGTTTCCAGCAGGTGCAGCTCCCCCACCAATAGAATGGAGCCCCGATAAGTTAGGTAGGAGTGCATGCTCGTATCATCACTACTACCTGACGCCACGGGATTTGTTAAAAAAAAAAAAAAAAAAAAAGAGTAAGCGGACATTTCTCGATTTGTGGATGTCGTTGATTCATTGAAAATTCCATTTATCATTCATGAAAAAAAAATAAAAATAAAAAATCTCTAGCTTATTATCTCAATCATCCTGAAGTGTTCCTGAATCGTCCCAAATTTTCATCAATCATCAATGTATTCCAATTATAAGGGACGTTGCGCACGTGCTTCTCCTCACGAATAGATTGGAGCAATATTATAAATAAAAAACAAAAAAAAAAAGGAGCGGGTGTAGTGGCCCGTACGTTTCCTAAAATTGTGGCTTATATACGGGCACTCCTTTAGGAAGTACTGGCGGTTCAACGAGGATGTTCTTATCACCTCAGTAAGTGCCCCGCCTTGAACTGGAGTTCTTTCAACAAAAAAAAAAAGGAAAAAAAAAAGAAGAGGTAATGGGACCCAGTTCCTGAAGAATGTGAAATCGGCCACCGTCCCTAAGGAAAGGTAGTCTCTTTGCAATGGTTTCTGCTCAGAATGGTTGGGGTCAGGTCTAGGTGAGGGTTTGCTAAATGGGGTGCGCACCAGAATAGAACGTCCGGTCATTATAGCCTTATCTGGTACAATTCCGAGTCCCGATACAGCTATAATGACTGGGCGTTCTATTCTGCAGTCAGTCTTCAGTGACTGGTCCTTTTTTTTTTTTTTTTTTTAACCAAGAAACCATGCTAGGCTTACGAGGGGGGGTGATATGAGCAGCCTCCCCTAGTAGACCTGCATCACTCTCGAGTTTCCTGCGATGTCTCTCCTTTTCCTGACTCCTTCCCCGCCTTCCCCCTCTCTCTGGTGGATCTCAGTTGGATTAATGAAGCACAGCTATAGAACTGATGAAGGGCTGGAAATGGACCTGAGCAAGCTCGAGACGCAATGAATATTTGGCGCTACCTGGGGGGTTGACGACGCTACCGTCTTCCCCCGAACATAACGCACCCTGAAAATGAACGTATACAAGGTATGTTTGCGACCCGATACAGTCAAAATGAGGGTGCGTTGTGTTCCGGAGAAGAAGGTAGGATCTGGGTTAGCAAGCTGCTGGCCAGTCAACCCTCCCTTTTGAGATGGAATCGATGCTGGCTTCCTCCCATATCGTGTATTCTGTCTGGACTCTGTCAATATTTGGAAGGGAGGGATGTTGAGCCCGTTTCCGAGCAGGTGCAGCTCCCCACCAATAGAATGGAGCCATCACTCTCTGCAGGGCTCGATCACTGGTCTCCTCATATCAGTCCTCGGCGCACCCCCTTTGAATAATTGTGGGCCCTTCCCAAACTTCACTTTTTGTTTCGTCCTAACGGGCCTGCGCAAGTTTCAAATAGCAAACACCTGTATGGTGTGGGCCCACCATCTTCATCCCGACACAACACACCCTCGACCTGACTGCATAAACCAGAAAGGTAGCTTGTATAGAGTCATGATCGTTGTGCTCGGGGGAAGAGAGTTGCGAGAGTTTTGCGGGTGCAGACAATGGTCGCCCAGGTTCGACCTACCCGATGCAAAGGGGGTATTATGAGGACAATGCACACAATTTTGAGTGCCCCAACTTTGGTGATTCTTAAACCGCATCCAGCGGCCTAACTCAGTTGGTAAGGCACGCAAGCGGCATTCAGGAGGTGGTGGGTTCAATCCCCATTGGCCTCATGTACCTTCCTGGGCATGCTTGGCGCCCGCCACCACTGGATCCCCCGATCGGCATTGAGCAGAGTCTGCTGATGTTCGTAGGGGAGGGGACCTGA